AGCACTCAACTGAGACGGTCCAGAAGTGGGTGGAGGGGCCCTCGCATTGATCCTGGCACGGTACCATGGCCATGAGCTTGCTGCCCTTAGACACTGCACACTGCTCTTCGGTCCATGGCTTCCATAGATTAAGCCATTAACCACTTTCGCAACATTTGACACCTCCTTTTATCCCCAGCTCACAATCCTTGTCCTTTGTAGTGCATCTTGAGGCTCCCAGAATCACTTGGAGATGAGGGCTTACCTGCAGTGGTCCTGCCCCAGAGTTGCTGCAAAGTGTGAGCTCACCGTTCAGCCCCCAGCAAGGCCTGGGTCAGAGACAAGCCATTGATAAGAGGAAGCTCTGCTCCAACATCCTCTGGTCCCACCACCACTCCTGCCACTGGCAAGATCCAAGAGGACACTGGGATGGCAGGAGGGGTCCAAAGTCTCCTTTGCCTACTGTGGAAGCTTCTGAAGGCCACTCAGCTTGGCGCCAGGAAGAGGAGTCACCTGCTCAACTCTTCCCCAAGCTCACACATGCTGCTGTTCTCAGCTCCCTGGAAGCTTCTTAGCTCACTGTCCATGTGCTCTGCCCAGCTAGCTGTCCCTGCACAGACCACTCTGAAGGGCCTGAGGCCAGGGTACCAACCAAGCCTGGTGGCTGGCTCCTGGGAAGGCCAGAGGATGAGGCAGGGACATGGAGGCAGCCGGGAGACGGCGGGCCCTCCTCCTAAGGTTTCCAGAGTGGCTCCATCAGCCCCAAGGAAAACCCAACTCCTCCACAGCTGCATGGCAGCCAGCGTCTGTCACAGACTTCCTCATGTCCTAAGCCACACAGGTTCCCCAAGAACACAGGCCCCCGGTGGTGTCCTCATTCATGACAAATCTGAGCAGGATGTTCTGGCCTTCTTCAACAGATGAACCTGAATGAGTCCCTGTTTCATGAGGACTGCTTCAGAAACTTTTTATGGATCCATATTCCTGCAGTTTGTGATGCTGGCACAGCAGACATCTTTACAGTGTGTTCAAAACAGATCCCTGGAAACCTCCTGGCAGGGAACAAGCTTCCGCCGCTGACTGCAGAGGGCAATCCCCCGCGTCACCCACTCAGCCATCTGAACAGCTGCTGCGTGCCATCGGCGGCGGAGCAGAGGCCAGGAGTCTCCCAGGTGTGCCGTAATCAGGTGATGTGTGCCACAGGGCAGCCCAGGGAATGGCAATGCTCCACTCAAGCAGGCGTCAGCAGCCTAAGCGGTGGCAGCGCTTGCCCTGCTGACTGGCAGCCAGCTCCACAGCCAGGCTGCTCTGCACACACCCGTAAACATCCACGGTGCCCCTTCCACTCGGTACACTGAATTAATGGTCAGTTGCCCTACCTCGGCCGCAGAAGCCTTGCCCTGGCAGCCTTCCCCAATGCTGAAAGAGGACGCACAGACAGGAGCAGGGGCCAGAATCCGCGCAGAAGGCACGTGTGGCACAGGCGGACCTGGAGCAAAGCACTGTTGAGAACGCGCAGCCTTCTTCCTTTCCACTTAGTCTTCCTTCTTCCCTCCCCATCTTCTCCCTCCCCGGCCCCTCCAGGGTCCTGGCTCTGGGTACAGGCAGAGGAACCCTAACAAAGCCCCAGCGCTTTCAAAGGTGGCTCTCCCAGGGTTACAGAAATGCTGCCTGCCTGCTGTGGAGACCTGAACCATGCTGGGTGCAGAAGAGGAAGATGAAACCCATGGTCTCACATGGGAGGTGACCAAACCCTCCCAGTGAGCTTGAGTCCTGCCTGGGAAGCACCTGCCCAGCCATCCGTGAGGATGATTGTCGAGGCAGGCACTGATTATACTCAAGCTGCAGGGTCTGTCGCCTACACGGAGGGAAAGATGGAGTTAAAACGGGACCTGGAACAGGCCTGCCAACCACACTGTAGTCAGGACAGACACCTTCCCTTCGTGTCCCCTTTCTGTGCCACAGCACCTGGGACCATCTGACAGAGGCACACTTAGCTGCATGGGGCGCTCACCTAGCTACATGCTTATCATCCACGGCTCTGCGTGGCAAGCGGGAGCCGTGCAAGGGCCGGGGGCACCAAGGGCCGGGGCACCAAGGGCCGGGGGCACGGGATGTCCAGGACTCCAGGCAGGGGTCCCTCACTGACTCTGCCCAGCCACTTTTCCCAGTTACAAACGGGATCCTTCTCACACCACGTTATAATTTTGTTCCTGATCATCACTTTGGTTTGAGGCCACCTCATAACAATCCTGCAACAGTGCTTGTCAACCAAACAACAAACAATGTGTATTTAATAACCAGAAGGAAAGTCACAGGCAATAAAGCAAATGACAAAAACAAAATGTGACCTTTGCCAAGCTTCCTGGACCCCATGAGAGCCCCGGATGGTGTCATAAGACATTGCTGAGCACCCAGCTTCCAGCCTACCCGTGCAGCACCCAGCTTCGGGTGTCCTAGGAGACTCGGCACCTGTGTGGTAGCGCTGGAGACGATGCCACCGTGCACATGACAGGAAGCAGGAAAGTCCTGAGCAGCTGGGGACCAGGCTGCTGCAGGCTGACTCCACAGGACAGCCGCCTAGCTCTTCGCTCCTGCACTGAGAGCAAAGCAAGGGACCCCGAAGGCAGAGGGCTGGGCGTAGGGAGTCAGGCATGCCGCCCAGGGGCCAGCCTGGACAGCCTGCTTCGGCAGGGCCGTCGCTTCCACCTCAGGCTTCGGAACCTGCCCTTTCCACCAGCTCTGCCTAAATCCTGGTTTGGTCACTAAAGGGGACAGGCGTGGCGAGTGGAGTGCCCTTCCTCATGCTGAAGCAGCGCGCCCCACCTCTCCCTGGTTTCAGGACTCCTTACTGGGGAATCCCCATTTCAGCCTGTTTGTGTGAAGGACTGGGAACTTCAACCCACCCCACCCCACCCCCTTCCAAGGGCACAGCCACACTGTGGGCGTCTGCTGAGCAGCTCGGCTACTAGCAGACATGTCAAGGTCTGTAGCTGCGGCTGGAGAGAGACAGGCAGCCGGCCGAGCATCGCGTGCCTCTAACTTTCTTGTGCTGCGTGCCCACTCCTCCAGGCTTTGGCACCCAAAGGGGACAGAGCCCGCTTCAGCGTGTACAGAGCTCGCCTGGTCTCTTGAGTCCCCAACCCAACAGTCTGGCTTCGGTTTTCCCACAGCTAAGCTGTCTCCAGGGAGAGCGAAGCCAGAGGGGGCCAATTACCAATTACGGAGCAAGACGTTAAAGAAGAAAGACCAGCAAAGGGCCAAGATGAGAAGTCCGGCGGAGAGTGAGTGAGGTGCTGGCCCGCGAGGCGCCCCGCCCTGGGCCTCCGCGGCCGAACGGGGGCAGCCGAGGAGCGAGCGGGGCGCCGGGCGCGGGAGGCGGCTGCGGCAGGAGGCGGGAGGCGGCGCGCTGGCTCCGCGCCGGCCTGTGCCAGTCGCCCGCCGGCCGCGCTCCGGTTTCTGTTCCTCCTCCGACGCGCCGCGGCCACCCAGACATCCCGGCTACCTGGTCTGCAAAGCTCCGGGGGAGCCGCGGGAAGGAACGTGAGGCGGGGCCCGGGCGCACTTGGTGCCAGAGACCCCGGGATGCGCCGCGCAGGGCAGTGCGGGCACTGACGCGAGTTGCGGCCGCGACCACCCGCTGCCCGTGCGCCCGCGAGCGCCGGAGCCGCCCTAGCCCGGTGCGCGCACCGGACGGAGCGCGCAGGTGGGGCTGCGCTGCCCGCGGTTCGCCGCGCACGGGCCCGGCGGCTGGAGGATGGGCGCCGGCACCCCGGGGCCGCGCCCGCCGCGAGCCTGGCGTCCGGCCCGCGCCCCGCGCTCATGTATGTAGACTGCGCGCCCGTCCGCAGGGGTGAGGGTGCATGGCGGGGTTTTGCGGAGCGCGGGCCCGCGGGGCGCTCTGCCGCTGCCCAGCTGCTGCTGATGGGACTCCGTTTCCCCGGCCCAAGTTTGTAAATCCGGGCGAATAGCGACCGGCTGAGGGCTGCGGGCCGCGGCCAGCGAGCAGAGGGCCGCACGAGCAGCGTCGGAACCGAGCGCTGAGGCTGAGGGCGAGCCATGCACACCAGTGCACCGCGGGCGGCGTTTGGGCAGCGAGGCGGGGCAGGCTGGAGGACCGGTGCCTCCGGGTGCCTGCGGCGTTCTCGGCCCCTTGGGTGTCAAAAACTTTGGGATCCAGGGACGGCTGGCAGGGATCTGGGCAGGGGAGTCCCACCCTCCTCTGGTGCACACCTGATGTGCCCCAGGGCCACGACAATGGCAAAAGTGAACCCTGCGGCCACCACCCGACGCGCAACACCGCCCGAGGGCGGGGGGGGGGGTGCGGACGGAGACGCCCGAGCCTGGGGTGCTCCAGTTCCTGACTGCCCGGGGTGTTCTCCAGGTAGTCAGAGGAGTGGCAAGGGGTGTGCTCTCCCGGGCCTGGAGGCTTTTGCCAAGTTGTGACCAGGATGGGAGCGGCGGGGTCCCCCAGGGTAGGCGAGAACTTGGCTCTCCCTGCACGTCCATCCGTCTCCAATTCCACTGCGGAATCGTCTGCCCGCCAATCCTTGAGAAACGTGGTCGGGACCTCGGGCGGGGGTGGACGGACGCCCCGGGTGGGGTGACTGCATTGGGTGACTCCTGGGCGAGCTCGGCGCGAGCGCGGGCCCGCTCGCTGCAGCCCAGCTCCACGGCTGCGCCTGGCCCTCCCAGCTACTCTCCAAGGCACGCAGCGCCGGCCGGGCTTCTCCTTGGACGTCGCTCCCGTTTCGTTCCCTTAACCCAGCGATGTCCAAGGGCCCTGGCTGCGCCCGGATCCCCGGCGGGCTGTCCCCGCCCCCGGAGTCCAGCTCGCCGCCTGGAGCGACGCGGGAGCCAGGAGGGGCCGTGGCGGGCCGGGGCGCGCGGGCCGCGGGGCTCAGTTGTGCTGCTGTTCTCTCCGCAGGGACGGCGGCTCCCGGTTGGCGGCGGCGCGCCCGCGGGCTGTGATTGCGACTCGCTCCCCGCCCGCCCGCTCGCCAGCCGGGACGCGGTAGGGGATGCCCAGCTCCACTGCGATGGCAGTTGGCGCTCTCTCCAGCTCCCTCCTGGTCACCTGCTGCCTGATGGTGGTTCTCTGTAGCCCGAGCATCCCTCTGGAGAAGCTGGCCCGGGCACCCGAGCAGCCGGGCCAGGAAAAGCGCGAGCACGCGTCTCGGGACGGCCCGGGGCGGGTGAGCGAGCTCGGGCGCGCCGCGAGGGAAGAAGGCGGCGGCAGCCGGGACTGGAAAGGCAAGAGCGGCCGAGGGCTCTCAGGCCGGGAGGCGTGGAGCAGGCAGAAGCAGGCCTGGGCCGCCCAGGGCGGGAGCGCCAAGGCCGGGGATCTGCAGGCTCGGTCTCGCGGGGACACCCCACAGGGGGATCCCGTGGCCGCCGCCGCCGCCGCTGCCGCCCAGGACGCCACCAGCCCGGATCTCCCGCCCACGCCGGAGCCGCCCGAGGAGTACGCCTACCCAGACTACCGCGGCAAGGGCTGTGTGGACGAGAGCGGCTTCGTGTACGCCATCGGGGAGAAGTTCGCGCCCGGCCCGTCTGCCTGCCCCTGCCTGTGCACGGAGGAGGGCCCGCTGTGCGCGCAGCCTGAGTGCCCGCGCCTGCACCCGCGCTGCATTCACGTGGACACGAGCCAGTGCTGCCCGCAGTGCAAGGAGAGGAAGAGCTACTGCGAGTTCCGAGGAAAGATCTACCAGACTTTGGAAGAGTTCGTGGTAAGAGGCGCGCGTCCGCCGCCACGCGGTCCACCTGCCGGGAGGGGGTGGAGCTGTTGGGGGCCCGGTCCCAGCTGCCCTGGGAGGCGGTCTCTGGGCCCCGGGAGGGGGCGGAGGTGGGGATGCAGTGCAGGTGCCCTCGGAGGCGGCCTCACTCTTCCCGGGCAGGAGCGTCAGTCCGCCCAGGGCGAACTCCTTTGGGATTGACTGTGAAGGGGTTTCATTTGTGTGGTGCCAGGCTGCGGGCCCGACTTGGACCACTGATCCATTACTCCTGATTCCGAGGTGTTGCCGGAGAGTGCGGCGATCTATTTGGCAACTCGGTAATTCACCTTGCCTTTTGGAACAAATCCTCAGCTAGTGACTCATGAAGGGGGAACTGGACATCTAAGGAAACCACGTATGCACCTGTATTATGATGTCGTGCACAGGTTCGCAAGCTAAAAAGAATCAAAACATTTGCTCTGTGAGTGTTGAGTTAGTGGGTGGCTAAGCCGGATCGTCCGGCTGGTGCCAGGTTGGTCCATGCTGGAGGCACGGGAGCCACGCTGCCCGCACAGCCATCTGCCTGGTGCCTCCTGTGTGGACGGCTCCAGGCTGTGCCCGGCCATGTGCATTCGTTTAGACTGTGAATTCTCTGCCATCTCCATTACACAGAAAAGAAAAACCAGGACCCAAATATCTGAATTGGGTGTTAAAGGTCAGGCAGGTCCTAGGAAACCCTACTCGGTAGCTCCTGAGTTTCAGCCCACCTCCACTGGAACACCAGTCCCGGGCAGCACACAGCGCTCGGGGACCTGGCCTGCCCTTGTTCCCGGGGGCTGACCCTAGCCTGAGACCCTGCAGCCCCAAAGCACATGCTGGCAGGCAGACAGGTAGGAGCCCACTGAACCTCACGTGTGGGCAGATATGTCAGGGTGTGAGGACTGGCAGGTGAGCAGGGTGCAGTGTCCTAGAAAGATGAGGCCAGGAGGGACAGATCTGCAGATGAGGTCCCCAGTATGGTAAGAGCCAGACTTCAGAGTCAAGAAACTTGGGTTTCCGTCCTGGCTTTGACTGAGCTGGATTTCTTAAGTGGATGAGGCCGGAAGGTGGGGTGCCTGCCTCCACGGGGAGGGGAGCCCCAGGAACCTGCATGCCTTGTCTCACGGGCAGAGGGCGCTGTAGACACGTGTTGCTTTGCTTAGCACAACCTTTGCCTGCCAGGCTTGGGGAAAAGAGCGTCTTAAGTTCTGGGGGTTCATGAAGTTCTTCCTCTACAGGGATGTCCCGTAGTAGCTCTCCAGGCAGTGCATGAAGCATGGCAGCCAGGGGTGCACAGAACAGCCCTCAAGTGTTGATTTTTGGCCTGGGACTGAGTCCTGTGGCGTCTCCCCAAATCATTCCCCTTTGTTTTGGGACCAGAGATAAGCAGCTGGTTTCTAGTGAGTGTCCTGAGCTGGTTGTGAGGTTCCAAGTTCCACTATTGCTTCCTGGAACTGTCCACCTGGGTCAGCTGAGCTCAAACACCTCCCAGCCTGGCCTCAGTGTGCCTGGGACCAGGTACGGGGAGGAATTCACCAGTCTGGGTTCAGGCATTCACCCTCAGAACAGCCTGTGCCCATGGTGATCCGCTGAGGGATTCCTGGTTGCACAAGCTGATGGTCCGTGTATAGAATGTGTTTTCCAAGCCTCACAATGGACAGTGACACCAGCAACAGGAGGATGGGAAACACTGAAGTCTCAGGCAGAATGGAAACTTCACTGAAATGCTGGCGTAAGTCTCCCAGCTTCAGTGACATCTCATTCTTAACATTCGCAAGGTCTTACCCAATGCTGGATACAGGCTTGCAACCAGGTCAGTGTTACAGGCCTGCTGCTGCAGGCGAATGCCATGAAGATGTTGCTGCATTTACCACGTCTGCTCCTTTGTGGTGGGGGGAGGGGTGTCAGGGACATTCTCAGGCATCCCTTTGAGCATGTGGTCTTGTGCAGGGTGTTCAGGGTCAGTTTGGATTGCCTGTGGGTTGCACAGGACCACGCCATGGGGGTGAGGGAGTGCTGAGTGCTGAGAGGACAGGGTTCGGGCTCAGCTGTGAACGCGTGGGGCTTGTGGAGTACACGCGCAAGGATGTGCTGGGATGCAGAAGCAAGCCCAGCAGGTGTTCACAGGTCTGCTCTGGATGCCCAGGGTCTGAGGGAGAAACTGCAGCTGGCAGTGTACACAGCACACTGGAAGAGGTCCAGAAGGAGATGTGTTGCGACAGGGTCACGCCTGGAACAACGTGTGCCTCCCGAAGGGAGGAGGCGAGAGTGAGGTTGTGTCTGCAGTGCCGTCCCTGGAGACGCATGGCTCTTCCACGGTCTGTTCTCGCTCCAGAGAGAGGAAATTACTGCTGGTGGAGGCGAGGCCCTCCTGTGGGTGTCTGATGGAGCTGCAGATAAAACCCAGAGTCAGCTGGGACAGGGACATGCGTGGGTTTGGCTCCCAGCCGAGCTGCTTCCATTGTCTAGGGCCCACGTGTGCTTGCCACCCCTCTGCCCAGCTCTCTGTCCACTCCCAACCCCTCTCTCCTTCTCTCTCTCATCCAGGCTTGACCCCTGGACCTTATAGCCCAGCTGACCCTGACACCAGACCAGGAGGCTGCTGACTGTGATGGCAGTGCCCTCCTTGCCCCTTCAGGGAAGGCTCATCTAGATAGTAGCATCACCCCCCCACCCCCACCACCACTCTGTGCGTCAAACCAGGTGTCTTCATTCTCAGCTTCTAGCAGGTATCCAATGTTGAACAGGAAGCTCATCTGTGGGCTTACACTTTCTTTTAAGCTAGAGGTGGTATTTTCATGTCTTCTGTTCCCCATGGTGTGTTGGCCTGCTGGAACATGCCAGGGATGTTCGGGCTCAGCCAGCAGCCCTGGTGGTGTCACAGGCTAGGGGCTGGTGTCTGAGACCATGCTGTCTCTGCAAGGTGTGGCCTCAGTGGACACCTCCCCAGGCTTGGCCATGCTATGCTCTCCTGGGCCTTGTCACGGTCAGCGTTGTCTGTGTGTCTGAGTCAGCTGTCCTACTGGACTGGAGTGCCTTATGACATCATTCTAACTTAGTCACCTCTTTGAAGCAGAGTCACACTGAGAGGCTTTGCAAATGACATCTTGGGCATGTCCATTCGGGGAGTTTACAGTCTAGAATACAGGGTGTGCATGACAAACGGGTCCCAGGCGATGGTGGCAGTGCCCTGGAGGATGGGCACCACGAGTGACTGGAAGAATGTGAGACAGCAGTGAGAGTGGCAATACACTGATGCCAGCCACACGCATGCACGGCCCACCGCGCCATTCTGATGCCCTGGCTCCACCCTGGACGCCACTGTGGGGGTTTCTGTCTTGCTGGGTCCTTTTATCACACGCAGTAAGAGGCAGCCACAGGGACACTGAGCAGTTCAAGCTCACCTTTGCTGAGCACAAATCGAGTTGGAAGCACGTTAGTGAGAAATGGTGTCGTTCAACAAGGCAAGTTGCTCCCACGTTGGGGATGCAGAGTAGCCTTTTCCGTTCGAGCCAGGCCAACTGCAGGCCAGTCTGACATGAGCTGGAATGGGTCAGCCAGAGCTCCCGCTGCTGTGACTGGCAGTGGGTCAGCTTCACGCCTCAGTGCTGCTTGTCACACCTCCAGGAGCTGGCAGTTGTATCCATCTTTACACAGAAAAAAAAAGTGAATATTGAAGAGTGCTGTTTGCCAGGCTTTCAGCACCTGAGCATGGACACAGCCAAAGTAGGTGAAGTGATGGGGCTGCTGAGTTACACAGCCCCTGTCACCAGCCCTGTGGCTGAGTCACTGCTCATCCTGCTGCGAAATCGCATTTGTAGACTTTTATCCATGAAAAGGGACTTCCAAATCCAGGCCTCCATCTACGCAGGTGTCTACTATAGCAATGAGGAGGCACTTTCGGGATCTGTGTTCTTTTGGTGGAAAGCAGTGCTATGACTAGTTGGGCTTGCCGAATGAAGCAAGGTCATGTGCACGTCCTGCTCTTCCCGGGGAGTCGGTCTCAGGCCTGGAACCAGGCTGCCTCTCACTCCAGGTTTGCACACTCTGGACCTCGAGTTCTTGCCTTTCTGTCTGAAGTCATTGCAACAGTAGCCATTTAAGCAGCAGGAGAGGGTTCCTGACACGGCTTCCCTAGACTGCCTCTCTGGGGCCACACAGCCTACGCAATTCCTGAGTTCCCTGTCTTGCCCCTCTGCTGGGAGGGGCCAGCATGTGGAGATGCCTGTGTTTCAGACTGCCTTCCTTGGTAAGTTATGCAACAGGCTGATGAGTTGGTGCTTTATCTTAAAGGGAAGGAACCTAAACTGCACAAAGGTTAAATAACGGCACAGCCCCTGGTACTACTGAATGGCAGAGCCAGGGTTGGAGTCCCCATGGGCCAGGTTCCCTGAACTTTGGGGCCACCAGATTGGCCTGACCACATGATGAGGGGAGCTATGCTGGGTGTGGCAGAGAGAACTAGGTGTCTGCAGGAAGAACAGCTTAGTCAGGCATGGACCACCTGTTTACACAGCTGTCCCATAAATACTCGGGCCACAAGCCACCGAGACATGACACGTGTCCGTGTTCCTCAAAGTACGAGTAACCAAGCTGTACTGGTAATGACGCGTGTATGCCCAAATGTTTGCGAAGGCAAGGGGAACAGTGCCCGTGGGCACAGGAGGACTCTGCTGGGTGCTGGCCCTGGGACTGTCCCACATGCAGTGCACATGGGACAGGTTCTGGAGGATCAGACTCAGAGAATGGACTCAAGCAGACAGCAGACATGGGGGACTTTGGTAGACATTGGGTGCAGGGGAGTGTCCCAGAGAACAGTGGCCAGTTCTGGGGGACCATGAAAGGAAGGGCCCCCATGGATGGTGAACATCATGGCCAGTTCTGGGGGACCATGAAGGGAAGGGCCCCCATGGATGGTGGACATCATGGCCAGTTCTGGGGGACCATGAAAGGAAGGGCCCCCATGGATGTTCTGG